GAGAGAGAGATGAGAGAGAGAGATGAGAGAGAGAGATGAGAGAGAGAGAGATGCGAGAGAGAGAGATGAGAGAGAGAGAGAGATGAGAGAGAGAGATGCGAGAGAGAGATGCGAGAGAGAGAGATGCGAGAGAGAGATGCGAGAGAGAGATGAGAGAGAGAGATGAGAGAGAGAGATGCGAGAGAGAGATGCGAGAGAGAGAGATGCGAGAGAGAGAGAGACATATAGACAAACATTCTAATTTCTCCATCAATCTCTTTATTCCCTCCAGGCATCCGTTTCCGCCCGGAGACCGCGTCACGTTCAATGGGAGAGACTGCCTGTGTCAGAGCTGCGCTGCACAGCCCATGGCCCCGGGAACTAAAGACACCACATCCAGCAGTGAGTGTTCACAGCGAGCTCTGCAAAGTTTCCGCTGCTTTATATTTGTAGCAATGAAATCCCGCCGGTTACTTTCCCTCTTTCACTGAGTGATTTTGTATCTTTTTATTAGTCGCCTCACCAGCCCCTGACTGTGCTTAACAGAGATCTGTATACTGAGGAAGGTAAACAGTTATGTGAACAGATCATGAACGGTTCTCTTTAGACAGTTCGCAGTATTCCACGCATTGCGCTCCGTCCGTGGATGGCGGTGAATAGTGTAACTGAAATCACGCCTTGTGAATGTGTGCGAGCCTTCAGGATTCACAATTATCTGGCCGTGAAAAGTTCTCTCTCCTTCCCCGCCTCCGCCGTCCCCTTTTATAAATCCTCTCCGGATTATTGTACGGATATTTTCCAGCAACAGGCGACCTTTGTGCCAAACCGCCGACGTGCCCGCACAGGTCTGTCACACGATAACCAAGTGAGGTCACCGCCAAATTCCCGGCGCCGATTTGTCTCCAAATACGAGCCAGGCGCTGATCCCCGATGTGGGCCGCTTGACTAACGGAGACACCTGCCGTCCATTTTTACTGCCGTGAGATCAGAACGCCGCGATTCTGCTGAAACCACTGAGCGGCCCGCGTGTCCCTATCCCCGCTCATACTAAGTCACACACTATTATCATACATGTATATAGCTCTGACATATACCACAGCGCTGTACAGAGAACACTGAGCCGGTCACATCAGTCTCTGTACAGAGGAGCTTACACTCTAATGTCCCCTCCCCCCACAGTCACATCAGTCTCTGTACAGAGGAGCTTACACTCTAATGTCCCCCCCACAGTCACATCAGTCTCTGTACAGAGGAGCTTACACTCTAATGTCCCCTCC